CCCCAAAACCCCAAAACCCCAAAACCCCAAAATCACTCCTTTTAAATATTAGGATATAATAAATTTCAATTTAAAATGGAAAAATCAAAAGAGGAGCCATCCAACGAAGGTGAGGGAAAAGAACTCGGAAAGACTAGTGAATCATCTGAAGATAACCACTCAGAGGATATTATCACTGAGCCCATTCCATTCAATGAACTTGCACAAGGTTACTATCCTATGGATGAACTTAAAACAGATCCTACATATGAAGAAATGATTATCGAATGAAGCTCCAAAACAGCAAAATCATTAAAATACTTAGAAGAAGTGCTCAAGACTAAAAGCTGCTACATTTTCCCAGAGAAGCAAGACCTTGAGTTTCATGAAAGCGGTATAGAAGAGTCCAAATATGACATGAAATCATATGACTCTGACGAAAAGTCTGGAAAAGGAAGTTTCTTGGTTCCAGATGGACTAGCTATTGAAGTTGGAAAGCTAGAATCTCTCAACAATGATAGTTTAGCTGGGGATGATGCTTCTCATAATTCAAGGGAGTCTATTTTTGCTCTTGGGGCCCCAGCGCCAGACTACTCAAGAAAAGCTAGGTTATCCAAAGTCACTCCTCTAATGGTAGCCTGCATGTGAAAATAATCATAAAGTTGTAAAGCTACTCATCAAAAATGCAAAGAAGATCAGAAGATGGGATAATGCTGCTATGTCAACATTTCTAAACATGCAGCTTATAGACAAATAAAGGAGGTCTGAACCCAATTTTGATAGCATGAAATCAGGGTGATTATATTATCTTTCAGTATTTAGTCAAGAAGGGTGCTGATATCAATGTTAAGAACAGCTATCATCAAAGTCTCCTCCACATTGCAACGAAGAATAATCATCTAAATATAATAAATATTTTACTTGAACACAGAAGCTTAGATTTTGGTCAAGAAGACTTGAACGGCATGAATGCTTTCTCCTTCGCTTGATCTATAGGCAATGAGGAAGTAGTTGATATCTTCCTTGCATATAGAGTCAAATGTGGAAAAGAAGGTAAGCGATCATTCGAAATCGACTGCAGGGATAAACTGAACCTCACCCCATTAATGAAAGCAGCAACTCATGGATACTATAATATCGTTCTAAAGCTGCTGAAATATGGAGCTAATCCAAGAACAAGGAATAATTTTGGAGAGAGTGCTCTAGCTCTCAGTTGAATGCAAGAGAACTATGAAATCTGTGAGCGCTTGATTATTGCTAAAGCAAATGTAAATGAGGTAGATTATTGTAAAAGAACTCCACTTTTGAAAGCAGCAAGACATAACACAGATTATTCAATTCTCGAACTTTTACTAAAATAATGGAGCCAAGACTGATATTGCTGATGAGAATGGAAATACTCCTTTGCATCATGCAGCGATTAGAGGATCTGAAATAGTTGCAGAGTTTCTCCTCAATCTTGGAGCAAACCCATATTCCCTCAATAAATAAAGAACAAGGTAACTTTAGTGATTAAAAATTTAGTTCCTTATGAGCTATGAGCTGATAAATCAAAAGTAGCTTTTCAAGTATGCCCATTATGTCTCAAGAAAGCCAACGTTTCTTGAAAACATTGATCAGTAATGAAATACTGTTCTATCGACTGTGCCAAAAGGGATTGGCCAGATCACAAAAAGACTGTTTTTCCAAAGAAGGAACCCTCTAAACAATCTGGTAGAAAGCAACTTGGACGGAGGCGAACTAGGCCACCAAAGAAATCATAATTCTTTAAGATTACTATCAATATCCAACAAAAATATTGGGGTTTTGGGGTTTTGGGGTTTTGGGGTTTTGGGG